GTGTATAAGAGACAGATATATATATATATATATATATTTATTTATTTACTTATTTTAATAATTACTAATGCAGTACCAACAAAACAACAAGAATAGGCCTATTCATTTAGGAGTGAGTATATTATTATGGCAATACGAAGTTTGATATAGGCCTATGTAGGCCTATTATTGGCCTATTCATATTTTAATATTTCATGCAGTACGGCATAACCTAACAAAATAAGCATTTTGCCATAATAAAAAAAAAATACTAGCCATATACATAGGGTAAGGTTAATATTTCACACACTGTATGTTAACTACCCTAGTTAAATCGGACTCAAGTTAAATATTTAGCCGATATTATTTTTTGTTTTTATATGCATTTAGACACTATAATACTGTACAAGCGGTATTTTATATTTTTCAAGTATTGACTCACAGTTTTTTAAGCACAAAATGCGTCTGCAAGCCACTTAAAGGGTTCCTCGTTTAAAACATCACAATGGGTGATAAATCGATTCCTTTGTATATTTCACTGGACATATACGTCTTCGGTGACTGTTCGTATCGCTAAATCCACGTCACATTTCATGATTAAGCACATTACTACTCAACCCAATCTTCTTAACTCTCTCAACATACATCACTTGGCAAATACCCCCTTCAAAATACTCCTAGCGTGAATTGTGATAAAACGAGGATATACGCAACCTTTGGTAATTTCCTCCCCAGACCCCGCACGGAACCAAACATTTCAGCCAAGGATGCGGCGGACATACAGTAATTCCAAATTGTTAACTGTTACACAAAACTGTGTCATTTTGCTGGATATAAATGTAACAGACGAATAGACCTATAAACAATGCTCTCTTATTATGATGTTTAAAACGTGAAATGCTTATATTTATTTATTGACAATAAATGGAATTTGCCTTCAAAGAGAGAGAAAAAGAAAGATTTCTTATCAATATTTTGACTTACAGCGAAATCGTATTCGTGCCTGGTAAGACAATAAAGAAATATCTCATGATTTGACATAAGGCTTATGCTGTATATTTTTAAAGTGCTTGTATTATGGAATGTTTATATGTATGTTATAAATTAATGTTATCATGTTTTTTTCAAATGATTTAAGTAAAGACATCACGACCTTCAGGCTGCATAACTAAATAAATGTGTTTAAAATCATGTATCTTAAAATAGACGATGTCCATATCGTCACTACTGTATTTAATAAGTTTACTTTCTTTATCGAATATCTACCGCGGTATAAGAATATTCCAAGTCACTGTTTTGCTTGCCACACCTGTGATAACACCTGTGATCACACCTGCGATATAATAATGTATTTATCATTATTTACAAATCTAAATGAAATAATAATAAATACAAATTTTAAGAGTAAGATAATAAAATTACAAAAATGCAATAATATGTCACAGAATATATTTATTCTAAATAAGGTATGTCGTTTAATTTCCAATGATAATTGCTCAAAGTGTAAAGCCCATATACAATATAAATTTTATATAAATATGATACAATAAAGAGATAACATTTGTCTTAAAGTCCTATATATAACAAAAAGTAACTCATAGTCCTATTAC